ATACTTTTTTAAGTATAAAATTATAATGTTTTAAATTTACTAAGTATTTTAATATTTTATTTTTTTTGTGATTAACTACCTTCGGTTATTTGCGAAGCTAGGGCAAGCTCTTTTTTTTCAATGAATTTCGTTTTTTAAATTGAACTTTTAAAATATTAAAAGGCCGATTTAAAAAATCGGACTTTTTTTATTTATATATTTTTATTAAAGCAACATTTTTGTTAAAACAACATTTTTTTAAATTTTATTAAATTAGTTTATTGGCATTATGGCAGAGAGGTTAATGCGGAGCACTGTTAATGCTTTTTTCAAAGGTTCAATTCCTTTTGATGCCTTATTGATGCTGAGTTGAATTATTGCTTTATTAAAAAAAAAGCATTTCGCCTTGCTTGCTTTGCTAGCAGAACAAAATAAGCTTGTGATGTAGCAACCGTAGGCAGCAGTTTATTCTTTAATTTTTTTTTATATATTTTTATTAAAGCAATATTTTTGTCTTATTAATTAATTAATTTTTATTTTTTTCTTATTAATTTATAGTTTATATATTACAGTTTGCAGTTTGTAGTGCTTTAATATTTATTAATATTATTTATTAATATTATAAAATATAAATTAGTTTTTCAGGGTTTTGGTTTTATAATAAAGCCAATAAACACTTTATTTTTTACTTTCTCTTTATTTTTACTTTTTTTTTTATATTAAGTTTTATAATAAAAACGTTGTATACTAATAATATTGAAGAAATATAACTTATTCACCCTTTTTATGCCGCTGCTAGCGAAGCAAGCAAGGCGGGTAGCTTTAAAAAAAAGTTGCGCCCTTTTAAGCTTACTTATAAAAAAAGAACAAATAATTTATTATAAAAAAATAATATTAATAAAATTGCTGCTTTGCTTCCTACGGTAGCAGCAATTAGTTTAAAAAACAAAATTATTATTTGTTTTTAATGAATATGCTGGAATTGGTAGACAGGTGGGACTTAGGATCTCATGGTTAAAAGCCGTAAGAGTTCAACTCTCTTTATTCATATTAATTTTTTTTCTTAGCTTTTTTTTTAATAAGCAATAAGCATTTAAAATTTTAACGCCCATCGCTTGCTTGTGCCTAGCTTGCTCTGTTTATTAAAGGAGGGAAGCCTTACTAAACAAAATATAAGCCTTGCTTGCTTCGTTAGCAGGTAGTTATAAAATGAAATTATACATTATTAAATTTTATTTTTAAAGCTGCGCAGCCAATTGAATTGCACTCTTAGCTTAATGGTAAAGTAATTATATTCGGCATAATAAATATTGGTTCGATTCCGATAGGGTGTTTTAATTGCACAGCTAAACCATATTGGGTTGAGTATTGTTTAATGCTTAATAATTAAATTTTTGCTTACTTGTCGCTTGCTCCTTTCTATGCTTCTTGCTAGCAAGAAGCTTTAGCTTCTTGCTACGCTAGATCATATGAGTACTAATCGCCTACCCTGGTGCAGCAAAACAAATTTTAATCTAAAAATTAAAAACAAATAATAATTATTAAACTTTAACTGCAGACTAATAATTAAAAAATTAAAAACAAAATTTTAATAATATTAATTATAATAAAAGGCCGCTAACACAAGAGGAAAAGTATAGGTGTGGGTTTAATTTTATAAATTTAATTAAAAATAATAAAGGAAAGGTTAATTATTTTAAATTAAATTAAAATTATTAAAAGACTAAATTA